TTTTTTTTTTTGGCAGTTAAACAGTTTTTTGTGAAAATTTAATTTTTCACATATTGGCATTTTCAAGGTGTGACTTTAAAGTTCCATGATCTTGAAGACTTTTGCTTGTCACATTTTCTGAATGTCCATGTTACTAATATTTTATTAATAACATTTGATTGTCATTATGCTGTTAAACATTATGTAATGTTGCATCAAAATTTGAAGAAACCCCTATTTTGGGCACTGCTCCTATGATGACCATTTAAGGGAAATCATGTCACTTACTGTTCTCAAACTTACAGGAAAGAAACATGGGTCTAACATACAGCTTCAATAGGCAACGCAGTCTGTTTGGTAAATTTTTCTGGCAATTTAACAATTTTTTGTGAAAATTTAATTTTTCACTTATTTGCATCTTTATTTTCTGTTCTTTGTCTGTACATTTGACAGCTTTGCTGCCTTGTTTTTGATTACTCACAGAAATATATTTTGATATGAACCTTGCTTATTTTTCAAAAAAAAAAAAAAAAAAAAATCAGATATTACTATCCAGGGTGCTAGACCTTGAGTCAAACTGACATTGTCATGTAAATGTCATTTTCTAGAGTATTTGGTAGTCTTTCCCAAAAAAGAAACAAAAGCATTTTCCAGATTTTTTTTCTCTTGGGATAAAGTACTTTAACATTGCAGTTGTGTCCATGGCAAAGCTTACATACATGAAAGACATAGTCTAAGGGACCATTCCCACAGATATTTAGATTGATCTATCTCCCTGGGGAGGCTCAGTAAATTGCTATCAACCTAACCGGCTTATATGTCTGCCATGCCTAGTAAAGTTGTTAGGGGCTAATTATCTGATTCGGAAGGCATGACAGACATTTAAGACGGTTAGTTGATAATAATTTAATGAAACTCCCCAGGGAGTTAGACCGATCCAGGCATGTGAATAAAGTTAGATTTTGTAAAACATCATCGACTATCAGCATTATATATTTAAATGTAATATTGTCACGTGTGTTAGATTGCCAAAGTCTAGTGCTCATAGTTGAAGTAGTAATTTGTCATTTCTTCATTTTAAGGTATAACAAACACAGGCTTAGCTATGGAGAGGTGGTGGAACTGTCATTTGAGAAGGGGCCAAGATCATTACAGCGGTTTTCTAAAGCTTCAAGGTATACTTTTGTGATTAATATTTTTATATGAATGTTTTTAGGGATTATATTTTTTAAATATTACACAATATAGCTAAAATCTATAATTATAGATATATCCTAATCATATTTTCAGGTAGTTAATATTTCACATGTTTGTGGATTTTTTTTATGATGTTGCAAAAAAAGTAATATTGCTTGAATTTGAAAACATGATAGAGTATGAATTTTTAAAATCAAACACTACAGGACAAGATTCACATTTGGTGTACTTACTGACACTTTTGTTTCAGAATTGCAGTGAATGTATTCTTGAACATCACACAGTTAGGGTTCTGTTGTGTGTATATAGTCTTCATTGCTGCCAACATAAAACAGGTATACAGGCTGTCTGAGTGCATTTTACATGCATTTGTTAAAGATGTTAATATAATAAAATAATATCTGTTTCATAAGAATTTTGTGTGCATTATCGAGGACAGTGGGTATCATTTAATAGTTCTGTTTTCTGCAACAGACTTAAAATAACTTTATTTTCTTTTTTTTCTGCACTGCTGTTAAGATAGAGAATTTATCATTTTTAAAAATGAACTCAAAGGGGCAATTAAGTTTTGATTTAGTACCCTTTTATATTCTTAATTATTAATAATTTCTTTTCAGGTTGTAGATGTTTACGTTACTGGAGATCTTCCACTGAGAGTCTATGAAGTGTTTGTCTTTATTGTACTGGTGCTATTTGTTTTTGTAAAGCACCTTAAATGGCTGTCCTACTTTGCCATGCTGGCCAATCTTCTGACAGCAGTAGGACTCATCATAGTGCTTCAGTACACACTGCGGAACCTACAACCAGTTACTGCTTTTCCTTTGTTTGCTGACTTTGCATCCCTGCCTCTGTTTTTTGGTACTGCTATATATGCATTTGAGGGAATAAGCCTGGTATGATTTGTAAATTGATTTTACTTATTTATATGCTTTAATCACTGTTCGGATTATCCAAATTGTTAAACATTTACTTATTTAAAGTAATTAGTCAAATTTGACAGATGTCCTTTAATTTTGTTTTCTACCTGCCAAATTACCAAATTAAAGCATTTTAGACCCTGTCATTTTTCTTTTGGAAAATTAAATTAACTTCATTCAACATCGATATTTGACATGATAACACTCTTATTACTAGATTTACAAATAACCTATGTATTAACAGGTTTTACCTATTGAGAACAAGATGAGGACCCCGGACGCCTTTTCTGGCTGGGCTGGTGTGCTGAACCTAGGAATGGTCATAGTCGTGGCCCTGTACACGGCCATTGGCTTTTATGGCTACCTGTGTTTTGGGGATGATGCTCAAGGCAGCATCACCTTGAACATTCCCAACGATAACTGGTATGTTCTAGGTTAATGACAAAAAAGTCTCTTGTTGTTTTAATACCAAAGATATGATGGCTCCTGGTTCAGAATGGTACTGTTTTAGTTAAAAATGGGGTTTTTGTATCATTCTCTTGAAATAAAGTCGCATCTGTGCCTGATAGGTGAAATTGCCTACAATGTCATCACTCATTTAAAGGTTCTAGGTTAAAGTAAGGGTGAGGTGTCTCTACTATTATTCTTCCATAAAAATGAGATACATGTATATAAAGTCTATCTCATGTCTACCAACACCTGTGCCAACCAAACAGAGAATATTGTGCTGATCACTTCTTTTTATCCAATCCCTTGTTTTTTGTTTTAAGAGTTCTTTTTCACAAATGTTATTTCATCCTTAAAATTCCTGCAATAGTTTTCAGCTTTCCTCTGTATTGTATAACATTTCAATTCAGATTAAATATGATTAAATGCTTAACCTTACCTTAATTGAATTTGATATTCATTGCATTTTAGGTTGTATTTATCAGTGAAGCTGATGTTTTCTCTGGCTCTGATCATAACTTATGGCCTACAGTTCTATGTCCCCATCCTGATTGTGTGGCCACTTATCAAGAAGCATACACAGAGGTTCTCATATATACAGAAATATGGAGAAGGCATGTTTAGGATATTCTTGGTGTTATTTACATGTACGTATAAATCCAATACTTAAAGACCACTGTATAAAATGGTGTAGAAGGATCTCATGCATGTTCTCTTGGTATTTTAGTTTGAATTACACAGACAATTGCCTTCTTCTTCTTTCAAGTTATAACTGCTGGGGCTTGATATCACTGCAGATTTTTAATTTTAGGGTTGCAAATTAGAACAGCTTGTCTTTGCTTCAGAATCTCTAAGACCCCATTCCCATAGATTTTAGTTTGATCTATCTATCTGTGGGGAGTCTCACTAGATTACTGTCAGCTTAGCTGGCTAAAGCATCTGTCCCGCTACTAAAAGCTGTAAGGGGGTAATTAACTATGGTGCGCACTCGGCTAACTGCAATTTAGCCTGAACCCCCAGGGAGTTAGGTCGATCTAAATCCAAATCTCTGCATCGTTCTAAATCTCTGCATCGTTCTAAATCTCTGGGAATGCACCCTAAGAGGATAGATGATTTATAACTAAAGAAAAATGGGTGGTGGCTGATTTAAGTCATTTAGATTATAAGTTCATTACATATTTTTCTATTTCAGTGGCCATGGCAGAATTGATACCACATTTAGGTCTCTTCATCTCATTGGTTGGTGCTTTGAGTAGCAGTGCTTTGGCCTTGATATTTCCTCCAATCATGCACACTCTAACATTCTGGCCTGACAGACTGGGTGTGTGTAAATGGCATTTATTCAAGAACATTTTGATTTGTGCCCTGGGACTTTTAGGATTTGCAACAGGAACTTATGTGTCACTCTCACAGATTATCTACTGTTTTCAAAATCCATCAGCTCCAGTCTGTGAAGGTACTTAAAATGAGGTTTCAAAGATCTCTTTTGGTGCCATCTTTTCTTTTTTGAGCCATCCAATAAATCCCCTTCACTATTTTTTCTGATTGTTTTAAATTCCTGCAATCGAGTCCAGGTGTTTATGAAGTTCTGTACATTTAATTTAATGGTATACCTACTGCTGTGTCGTAGTATTTGTTAGATATAATACATAAGACGTTTTAAGCAAATGAGGATGTTGGTAGTTACTTTAGTCAGGGGCAGATTTAGGCCGTCTTCTGGGTCTTCCGGAAGACGGTCAGATTTTCAAGTTTACATTGTCGGGCATCTAATATTTTCTGTCGGAAGACGGTCAAAAATGAAGGATGGATCAACAAAGATAATTTGGAAGACTGTCAGAAAATATCTCTGGATCCACCCCTGATAGTTGTTAAATTCCATGTAAAGGGACCATTGAGTTCACAAAAAAATGGACGAAGTTCATAGAACGATGATAGAGAATAACGTATTTTAGCAATGTTGTAACAAATTTATTATAGTATTGACTGAGTTTGGAGAGGAAAGCATGCTAAAGGGGGATCGATACACTATGATTTATTTCCTTTTCCCCTAAGATAATGGGGCTATTAGCATTGTCATGTTATGAGATAATGCTGTCACATTAATAATACATCAGGGTGAATTAGCTATTTCCAGCTAACACTAGTGTTATTTCAAACATCTACCTCACGGTCCTCACCTGAACGGCTGGCAACAGTTAATCCCAACAATAAGTATTACAATCCAGTGCCAGGAAATTTGTTTGAAAACCTTGCTTCTGATTTTATCAGTAAAAAGGGGGAATAATGATAACAGTTGCATATCTCCTAAACAAAAGGATGCCAAACAATAAGCTGGCATAGGATTGTAGTTCTCACCCATTTCGTCACTTATTTTCACAATAACATAACATAGATATATTACATATGTAAGGTATTTATGACATATCTTAAAATGTAGGCCTTTATAACGTATCGGACCCCCTAAAGAATATTTGGTGGTACAATGGACATTTAATTAAACTTTAAACTTTATATTGACTTGAATGTAGAATTTGCATTTGAAGACTGTAATGAATGTTTTTAATGGTGTTGTTTGCGCACAAGTAGATGTTTAGCAAAGCCTAAATATGCCCCGAGTTTTACAATTTGTGGAGCTACCCGTCACTGTTTTCATTGGAAGCATTGTAAGAGGTAACCATTTTTATAACAGATAGTGCTCCACCCACCCCACATCTATTTTGCCCTTGAAAAGGATTTTAACATATTGCCACCCCTTTTTTGATATATTAAATATTTGAAACTCATGAAAACTCGGGTTGCTTGGATATGTTGTTGCGTTTTAGACATGTATATCGAGCATTGGCTTTGTACTAATATGAACCTCTGATAGTTTTAATCTGATTATATACATATTGCACATTTATTGTTGACGTTTTATAAATTGTATTGATAAGTGTATATAAAAAGTGACTGTAATATAAAAATAAAGTAATGAATATTTTCTATTTTTTTTCTTGTCGGTCAATTCCGGAGTAAGAAGGTTCCCTTTGTTTAAAAGACAAGGGATCGATCTGATCTAAAAGATTTTGCGTCTATCCATCCCTTGCTGTTCATTTTAAACTTTTCGCTTGCTGTATGTTTAAAGTACGTAATCCGTATCATTACGATTGTCATGATCCGAGTTCTGATCCATTTGATCCGATTCCGAATATTTATTGCGCCAACAATGCTACAGTAAAGCATCGAACTACATTGGCCAGTATAGAATGAGCTACGGTATCAGATAATACACTGTATCTGTCATGTAATCAAATTTATTTATATCGTATCTCACTACAACACCTGTTACATTCAATATCGGTTTCAGGTCCATAGCATATTTAGTAGTATAGTTAACTGGGCGCTCGATGAAGCTCTGACATTTAGATTAAAATTCTGTACCCTAAATGATCCAGACGGTTTTCGGGCAATCACTGCCAGTTTGAACCATGCTAAAGCACGCTTTGCAAAGAGATGATAGCGGAGATTCACCGCGGGGGACTCAAAATTCTTACGATACCGATGAAACTTTACCAAAATCACTTGCCTATGGTCCAGGCATATACCACCCTGGCGCAGATGTCATTGCTGATATATCTGTCACTGATGAAAAGGAATTTGAGGAAGATGACATCGAGGAAAGCATTCGTAGTGCTCTGATAAGCGGTTCTTTTAACGTGGAACAGTTGAATGGGTGAGATGGGAACGTATCGCTATTTTTTCATAAATTGTGTAGAATTTGTGGTCTTATATTGTTCTCAAAAAAATGCAGAATATGTTGAGATAGATGCGCGTCGACGATTTTTTTTTTTTTTCTGATGAAATGAGGTGCGGTTGGGATCCGGATTTATTGAAAGTTTGACTCACATGTTGCTTATTGACAAGTCTTTCACTAAATGTGTGCTCCCTTCTTTCCAACGGGTCTGCAGAAACTGATTTCTTCCCTATACTTTATTAATTCTAATCGTATACATTATTTTACTATTGCATGTTTTTCAACATTTAGTAATATGGCAAGCCTGATGAATTTACTGAAAGGCAACATTGGCACGGGAATCCTATCCATACCCCTTGCTATCAAACATGCCGGATTGCTAGTAAGACAACGATTCCTAATTACGATTAATACATGTAGTATATAAAAAAATTGGAAGTCAATTTCAACTCCAATATAAATTATTAACAGACGCAAGTGCAGCACGTCTTATAATATACTGTATATTTCTTTGCTGGTGATGTTGAATATCTTGTTAAATTTGTCCATATGCTGCCCAACTGGGCCTGGATGAATTATCTCCTTTTTTCATCACGGACTTTTGTACATGTATAAATCGACTGCTCCATTTAAAAAATAATGCTCATTTGTCAAATTTTCTCCTGATATCTGTCTCTGCGCATATTTCAAGGTAGGAATGGTTGGCATGATCGTTCTTGGCATCATCTCTGTCCACTGCATGCATCTGCTGTTGATCTGTTCTCGCGAGTTTGGTGACAGGTACGTAAGTCCAATGTACTCTCTGACTCTCAGGGCGCACTAGTAGTCTGTTCCAAAATTATTGTATGGCATCCGTCAGTTTTGTAAACTGTTAAATAAGCCTCTGTTATCAGAGGGAACATCCAATGATTCGTTAAGTTATGTAATAGCCGCGACTCTCTGGTGGTTGAAGGCCGAGTCAAAAAGGCATATTTTCTTTGGATTTGTAAAAATTATTTATTCCTGCGAACGTTTTCAATATAATCATATTTAAAAAAACGAGTCATTTAGTAATGCCAACTGTCTTACCAAACTTATTTTGTAAAATGAAATATTATTTTATTGAAAAGGGCCTCATATTTTATTCAGAACACACCGCCGTCACCTTGAATATAATGATGTGATTGAGCTGGCTTTTGAAGACGGGCCGAAAATTTTCCAGAAGTTTTCCAATGCTGCAAGGTCTGAAACGATTGAGTTTTTGTCAAATAATATACCAATTTACTGCATTTCAATCCAAAAAAAGTTATTTTCAGATTTAAAAGGAAAATTGATTGACCGCTCGTTTCGGGTGCTGATAGAAATGTCTATATGCTTAGATCACATTTTCATTTCAGATTCGCTGTAAACTTATTCATCATCGTAACGCAGTTAGGCTTCTGTTGTGTGTATATAGTTTTCATTGCAGCCAATATTAAGCAGGTGAGATAAACCGAAAACGTACATTTGAAAAGAAAAAACTTTTATACATACATTTTATTTTGAAACTGTTTTTGGAATTCACTTAGAAATTAAAAGGACTCTTTTCATCATTTAATCATTCTAAACAAATATAGAATGATACATCTGAAAAATGTATCTGATTTATCCTTCATAGTTTTGATTCATTGAAATGATCGATGGAGTCAGCATTTTAACAGTGTTTTATTACATGTGCCACTGCCTTCTCAAGGACTGAATCTTTGGCATTTACATGTGTAGGATCACAGTTTGAGACAAATTTCTTTTTCAAAAATCTTTGGGAGAGCAACAATATGAATCGAGGATAAATAAGGACAACAAAATTTTGCACTACGATAACACAACCTTATCATGTAAAGTCACAACGGCAATTGGGGGTGAAGAGGGACAATACGATTTTGCACTAAGATTACCCTGCTTTATCATAATTATGTCAAAACTGTGAATGCCAAAACTGTTTCCAGTTCACCTCTTCTCTGCTCCAACTAATCACCGACATTTGAATTGCTCCGTACGCTATACCCTTTTAAACGTATGTATTTCGTTATTTTACAGGTGGTTGACGTTTATATCAACCCAAGTTTTCCGTTACGAATTTACGAGCTGTTTGTATGCATTTTATTGGTACTAGTCGTATTCATCAAGCACCTCAAATGGCTGGCCTATTGCGCTCTTTTTGCCAACTTGCTGACGGTTGCGGGACTTCTCATCATTCTACAGTATACGTTCCGTTCTCTGCAGCCAGTCAGCACTTTTCCTCTGTTCTCAGATATGGAAAGTTTGCCGTTGTTCTTTGGCACTGCAATGTACTCATTCGAAGGAATAAGCTTGGTACGAACACTTGCTAATACACGTACAAGGGAGGGTGGGTGTTCAGCGCCGAGAATTTTTTTTCGTGCATTATTTTATGTCATGTCAGAGTGGCATTTGCTGCCTGAAATCCCTGTCTGAATATCCTATTTTAAAGAAATATCATTCCACTCGAAAATAGTATCTATTTTTATATTTATTGACTTCATTTATACAATAAATAATATTTATTTCCATATTTATTATTGACATTTTTAATATAATAAACAATATTTATTTTCGTATTTATCTATTCATTTCACAACGGGTGCAATTCTAACATACATGTATATCAGCCATTTACTTTTATTAGATTCGTATTTAAATTATTTCTATAAGTATTTCATTAACTCTATGCCATATTTCAGGTTTTACCTATTAAAAACAAGATGAAAGAACCGGATGCCTTCTCCGGCTGGGCCGGCGTGTTAAACCTAGGAATGGTTATAGTGATAGTTCTGTTCTTGGCAATCGGCTTCTATGGCTATTTATGTTTTGGAGATAACGTAGCAGGAAGCATAACTCTAAATTTACCAACTAACGACTGGTAAGCATGAACTGAAGAAGAAAAAACAGATTCAATAAAATAGTCAAAATTCCGTCTGCAGTTTATGTTCACACGTGCAGCGTGTATTTAAAATTTCCCACTTTTACATACACAAATTGTTTCATCATTCAGTGATAGATACTATAGACACAAAGAAGGGAATCCATAGAGAGATTTTTTTCATTGAAACATTTAAATGTTGACATAGAGATCTTAGTATTTAAAAAAATCACAGGGAGGACTTTAGGACTTTTCGAAAAAAAGTTACTTACATGCATAAAGACGGCAATTATCCATAATCACAAGAAACTTGACATGAGCGATCTGTATATTATTTTTTTTCTTAGATGGTGAATGTTATATTTTCCAGGTTGTATCTTTCAGTGAAACTAATGTTTTGTCTAGCTCTTGTGATAACATATGGACTACAGTTCTATGTACCCGTACTTATTATCTGGCCATTCTTCAAGAACCGTATTCGCGGCAATGGATATTGTGAGTGGTTTGCAGAATCGCTCTTCAGAATATTCCTGGTGCTTTTTACGCGTAAGTAATACTACATTTCGTTTTTTACATTTGTCTTAATTTGAGCGTGTTTTTTAAAAAAAACATGGAAGTTGTCAACAGTTTCTTTGCCTGTACCAGTAAAAGATGGTCTTGTACTTGAAATTATTTTTTTTCAGTTGCTATGGCAGAGCTGATTCCGCATCTAGGTCTCTTCATCTCATTGGTCGGAGCTCTGAGTAGCAGTGCACTGGCATTAATATTTCCACCAATCATCCATACTCTTACTTTCTGGCCGGACAATCTGGGCGTGTGTAAATGGCACTTTATCAAGAACGTCTTAATATTTCTCCTTGGAATTTTAGGCTTTGGGATAGGAAGCTATGTCTCATTGTCTCAGATCGTTTATTGTTTTACTTATCCAAAGGCCGCTACATGTGAAGGTACTTAAGGTATTTATAACTGATCCAAAAAGACTGAAGCAAAAAAAAAAAAAATAATAATCACCCCATCATTACAGTTATAGAATGCAGTTCTTTTTCAAATTCAGTACATCATAAAAGGCTCCAACATGAAACGGGAAACAAAGATGTCGACAGATGAAAATAGAAATGGAGAGTATACCTTTCATTAATCGTTCAAAAAATTCCAGGTGTGGCAAAATTCAGTGAAAAATGGTTCTGCAAAGTAGGATTCTTACGGATATTTATTATTTGCAATATTTCATTGAATTACATTGAATTATTAAGCCTTAAACGACTTCGAAATTGTCGATGTCAATTGGAATTTTGTTTGTGCAATATATTTCAATACACAATGTGAGTGACACAGTTTAAGAATTTCCTTTTATTTCACATGCCAGGTAACTGTTATGTATCAGTCAATACTATATATTGCGTGCAAAATATTATTACTACGAGCTTTGAATAAAGCTATTTTAAGATAAGCGACCTTTTTACACGTTTTATGTCTAAATGTTGTTCCTATATAGCATAGCATCGATAAAAAACAAGTTTTAGGATTATTTACAACACATTTCTTCACACACATACAGAGAGAGAGGGTGAGGGTAACAGACGTGAAGAGCCCCATTAAGGGTGAAAATGCTAAGGTATAAAATAGCAATTTTTCAACTTACGTACTTAGCACGTTACATTGCTAAAATAATAACTGATAAATACCTTAGGATAAGTTCTGTAGAACAGTTTGCGACAAAAGATTTCATCTGCAATTTGTGGACAGTGTGCGAACTTCATGCTACACTGTTCAGAGTTACATCATCTTTTAGGCCAATGCTTATATATAAAGACATCACGGACATCATCTTATAGATCCATGGATCCACCCTTCTCGGTCTTCGAAATAATGAAACCGTCGATACATATATATATGTAAAGGTTGCTGAAGAGTAGATCGCAACAATGCGAGCTCAAAACCAAGTGTATTTTCAAAAGGTATGATTCCGTTGATATCAAGACGTACGCAAGATTTTGTCGCTTTTGTAGATGTTATCTAAGTTTGTGTGATGGACAAACCAGTTCATCATAAAAGGACAGTCCGAGCGTATAACCCAGATTTCGGGGATCAAAAAGGGCGGAGAAAAGGTGAAATCTATTGTCGAAAGACGTGAATTGTGCTAATAAATTGTATTAAATTGATCAGCGTTGCTGATGGACAAAATGTGAGCCTCTGGATCACAAGCTTAAGGTAAAAGGTTTGAAACTAAAGCATCCATATTACGCTAAAGTTTTATGTGTTTTGTGTGTTAATGTACAGTTTTAAGATTTAATCTTTTTTAATGGATTTGCGAATAATATAGTGCAGTAGACAGTGACGTGTGTAGAAAAGAGGAGGTCGGCCTACCTATTTTATTGAGCTTTTATGCCCCCAGTAGTTTAACCGTTGAACGTCCAAAAATAGACATTGCTTCCCACATACAGAGTATTACAAGTTGGACCCATTGTTAATGGACCCAGTTTCATACACCTTTGGATGGCGAGCCGAGAAGAATGGACCAGAACGTTTCACAGTGATGTCATCCTTATAGCTGTTTGAGTCTCTGGGAGGTTACTATGATTATTATTATCATTATAACTACGAGCCATAGTTGATGACCATGAAGGTAGTTAACGGATTATGTATACTTAGGCCCTTCATTGGGTAAGCGCGGATCATTTTCACTCGGGTGTATCATTTTATGATAAACCTTGAAATTGAGCCATGTTATTAAGAAAAGTTGCCCCAGTTGTATTAAAACCAGGTATAACACCTGATACTCAAAACATCCAGGTTAAGGTAAGGCATATTGGATATGATTATAATTTAAGGTCATTCCATGTTCAGGGAGTCAACGCATAACACTAAGTACCTGTTGTACGTCAGCAGGTCTTCGCACCTTAACCAAAAGACTCCGCACTAGTTTTGGCTTGTGAATATGTCGGCCACTTCAAGTGTGCACCAGGAGGATAAAAATGAGTTGGAACTTAGAGGTCTATTTGACATTCAAGACAGCCCAGAACAATGTCCAACTGAGGAAGAAAAACTGAACAGGTATATACAATTGTTCTGTAATAAACCCTGCGCTCTTTTTAATTTAATCTCTTATATCTTTTGATACTTAACTTAAAGCACAATTTTCCTCTTGGATTGGAAAAAACCTACTGCTTGATCTCACCAGGCGAAAGAAGGGCTGAAATGATGCGAGAACATATAACATCCGTTGAATTGGTTTTAAGTCTTCTTAGTCTTGCATGACAGTATGACAGTCGCAATGTAAGACCTTCGCTGTGTTTAAGAAACCAATTTACTTTTTGAGAAGAGAAAGGGTCATCAAGAAAGAACAAAAATTTGATCAGTTTAAACTAAGTAAACTTAATATGTCACTTTATGCTAAATTTGCAGTAACACAGAGACATTAATGAACTACCTGAAGAGCAACGTAGGATCTGGTATTCTTGGCATGCCATACGCAATATCTAATGCAGGAATATTGGTAAGAAGGTCTCTTTCTCGCTTTCTCTCTCTCTCTCTCTCTGTATCTATAAATACATATATATATATATATATATATATATATATATATATATATATATATATATATATATATATATATATATATATATATGTATGGTCTAAATTCATAAGAAACAAAAAAAAAAAAAAAAGAAAACTTTCAAATAAGGCTAAACTAGGCAGGTAATTTAGTGAAGTTTATGTGCATGTGATTCATACTAAAATAGAACTGAACACGTGGCTCCTGTCAGTGACATTTTTCATTCATTGAAATCTTTTTCTGGTCATAGGTTGGGACCCTTGCTGCTATGGCACTGGGTATGTTAACTACCCACTGTATGCACCTGTTGGTAGGAGCCGCACAGATCATATGTGACAGGTATTTGGTGTCGGGATAGTTAGGCAGTACTGAAAAAGTGTAGTGCACCAAAAAAAGGCCTTGAATTTTGATTCCGAAACACTATCGTTTGATCCTGCGTGATTGTTTTTCAGATCAAATGACCCCTTAAATGAGGTGCTCATCCATGGGAACTCGCGCGGATATCCGTGTCAGAGCTCTTTGAAAAGCAGGAAGCGAATAGACAAAATAATCCCCTTATTTACCCCGACACGAGTATTTTTTTTTTTGAACACTCGTTTTAAATGTCACTCGTACAAGTTTTTTTTTTTTTTTTTTTTTTTTGAAGTTGAAGTTGTTTTTAGCTACTTCTAAAACTGCAAGTGTTATGAAATGAATTTTGTTTGGCATTGTTTTGTTCGTAAATTATCTTCTCTTCTCTACGAAATTTTAAACGGATTTTTATAACGTTAATGTGAAGAAGCTGGGTTTACCTGAAGTATGAAGACAGATAGGTTCCTGCTGAAAATCATAAGGTGTCTTGTGCACTTTATTACCTTATGCTGAATAAATATACTTCTATTAGGTAATCTTATTTTTCTGGAGAGCACCAATCTCTGTCTGTGTTTGTTCGACACTACACTGAATTAATAAGTATAATACCTTTTTATAACGACCAAACCATTCCACAAAAACACTGAGAGAAGCTATTGAAAATATTTGTTTCATGCTTCTACACTTTTCGTGCCACATTCCTTTTTCCAGGCGACGTATTTCGGAGGTGAATTACGCTAACGCTGTGGAGATGTCGTTTCAAGATGGACCCGAGCCTCTCAGGCGGTTTTCCAAAGCATCACGGTAGGCTGCTTCCCAAATCAAGCATTCACCCTTTTGTTAGACTTAGCCTATCTAAGTATCTATCTATTTATCTTTTTTTGTGTGTTTCTATTGTTATTTTATTTTTGCTATAGGCCTGACAGGACATGGATGGCACAACCACAGTGGTTTTCAATTCAATTTAAGCTAACTATTTTTGTTTATTTTCTTCTATACTGCCAAGAAAAGATTTAGTGATTCACTTAAAACAAGGACCCAATGTATGTATATGGGCAGTTGTTCTGGTCCGAACATTTGTGAAGCATGATACCTTACCATGCATTAGTTTTTGCCGTAGCCAAGTCAGAGCTATATGTACAATACTCTAATCTTTTCCTTTTTTCTAATTGGTACCATCGGTCTGCTGCTAAATCATATCGGCTATGTTTTTAAGGAAACTTGAGTCTCTTAAGGCTGAGGTTCGATAATATATATATCTTTCCAGAATTCTTGTGGATATTTTAATCATGATTGCTCAGGTGGGAATGTGTTCCGTGTACCTTGTCTTTATACCGGATCATATAAAACAGGTAAAAACAACAATGATTTCTAGAATAAATCAACTTTTCTTGGGTATTTTGAAGTGTTTATCTGCATAGTACTCATTATTCTGATCAAATATGTGTATGTGTTGCAAAAGGCAAATGATTCAGTATCCACGCAGAAAAACCACGCGCTTTAAACTCATAGATTGTAAAATAATCGAAAGACCAAATGATTATTTACATATTTACAAATTATTCAATGTCTTGTAAAGCCATGCCTTGCCCTCTCACCTTTTACTTACAATAAATACCCCATTACAGGTTATAGATATATTCGTGGAAGATAACATATCACTGAAATGGTATCAAGTAATAGTGGCGGGAATTTTGGGCATCTATATCTTCGTAAAGCACCTCAGAACGCTGGCTTACTTCTCAGTGGTTGGAAACATATTTACAGTGGTGTGCGTGGTGATTATCCTGCAATATACCTTTCGTAACTTAAAGCCTGTGGCTTCGTTACCCCTGTCGGCTGATGTTTCGAAGTTACCAATCTTCTTTGGAATGTCATTATACGCATATGAAGGTATTAACACGGTAAGTTTTGCTAATATATGTATATTTCAGTATTTTTTACATAATCTTTTCAGTGTTTACATTCATACATATACTGTACCATTTAACATCCTGCATCGTTTACTTCCATTTTCTCTCTCTTTTTTAGCTTTTGTCATCATCATTTTGTATATGCTGCCATTCTTGTTTTACACTGAAATGCGGCAAAAGTTGCGTAATGGATCATTATCCCTCTTTAGAAAAGTATAAAGACCACATGTTATTAAGAAAAACGAATCTGTGAAAACATTTCAATGCTTGCACTGCATTAGGGACTAGATTTCATCCACCGATTTTGCACAATGAATGTGATGAACATGGGCTAAAAGCGATGGCAATAGGAGATTCCCTATGTTATTTTAAGATACTTTTTCCCATGCAATTATCAAATTATATCAGTTATACTCAGCCACTCGACTTTGCGTTCAACATTATCAGCCAACTGATTTTATCACTATTTCTCACTTATTTCCTTTCAGGTTTTACCGATTAGAAACAAGATGAAAAACAAGGAAGACCTCCTCCTGTGGAATGGAGTCATGACTCTGTCCATGACCATTTCTGTCTGTACTTTCACAGCCATAGGGTTTTACGGATACCTGTGTTTTGGAGATAATGTCAAAGGAAGCATTTTGCTAAATTTGCCAACAAATGACTGGTGTGTGCGTTTTTTTTTTTTTTTAATTATTCTTTTGTTTTTTATTAGTAGCATCAGATTTGTGACACAGATTCAAAATTGACGAGACAAACCATCCCTATTTAGAACATGTTCAATGTGACGTCTGGGTTGTACAGTATTTTGTTCTTGTAATATTCGGTGATTTTAAAAGTACTAGAAATAGTTAAAACTTGTTTTGAATAATAAACTAGAAGTTCTTGGCTCAAAAGACACGTATAGACGTAGGCCTATAAAGTTGACACGTGATCACATGTCAGTCACATGTATTAATTAAAGGACATTTTTAAATTGTCATTTTTGTTTCAGGCTTTATCTTTCAGTAAAACTTTTGTATTGTGTGGTGATTTTTATTACCTATGGACTGGAGTTTTACGTCCCTGTACATGTATTGTTGCCTTATATACCATTCCCTACAAAGAATAACACATTTTGTGTGAAGCACGGCGAAACTATCCTGAGAATCTTGCTGCACTTACTTAGTCGTGAGTACACCTTTTCTCTAAGACACCTTTGCACTTTCTTATATGTCACCAGATTTAAAAAAAAAACAGTTCATATAAGTCTTCAGCATTGTTTACACAAACTCTAAACTGTGGCCGATCATGTAACTTAATCATTGAGAGGAGGAGACATATATACTTACAGTATCTATAAATTTTATTTCATTTTCAAAAGTAGGCCTAATATACGCCTACTTTTGTTTAGCATTCAATCACTGATATAAATAACTCGAAACATTGCAGTGATTATCCATCTTAGAAAAATATTTCAAATATTTTCAATTATTATTCATTGTTTCAGTTGCCATAGCAATGCTCATTCCAAGCCTGGGTCTGGTCGTTTCATTATTCGGCGCCCTGGGTAGCGGCGCTTTGACTTTGGTATTCCCTCCAATCATGCAGACGCTTACGTTATGGCCCGACAGACTAGGGGCGTGTAAATGGCATTTAATTAAAAACATGTTCATATTCATACTTGGAATTACGGGGTGTATAACAGGCACATATGTAGCGTTAACAAATATCATTCATTGTGGCCTAAATCCAAAAGCCGAAGTTTGCTCTGCGTAAAAAATATTGTGGTAAATTATAAAAAATGCTGTATTTTCACCTTGAAAATAAGCTCAACTTAATAGTTAGAAAAATTACTCTTCGTTAGATCAGTCTCATATGTAATTTTTTAATAAAATTTTTAATAACTTTATTTGAGTAATTATTTATCTCATGTTGTACTTTCATCTGTTTGTGCGACGGACGTAGAAGTGGAAGCAGGACATCGGCAGTGATCAAACCCGTTTAACGTTGTAGTCAGGATATCCAAAGACATGAAAATGAAAATAGTTTAATTTTTTATCATTTCTTGTTGCTACTTTTAGGTGACTCAATAGAGAACAATAAATGACAAATTCAAATTAAACTTCCACCAAGAAAATCTAGTTTTAAATTTGTACACAATTCGTAGCCTGCAAGCAATGTAGCCCTTGAATAAACAGACTCTTATGTGTCTTTTTATCACGCGATACACCAACATCGCTTTCAGCTGTCTTTTATTACAAACAAACTTTCTCGAAAAAAAATAAATAAATAAGTGCACCGGATATTCTGATATGGTCGTGGCTAAATGATATGTTGAACTAGAATATATGATAAGCGCCGTCTCTTATGTACATATCAAATGCCCCATTTAAATGATAGGCCTATTGTTCGGACGTGCTTCGCATAATGTCATAGCATTTTACATGCTCCATGATGCTCAAGAATAATGGGAAAAGGAAGTAACGTTTTGCGGCGATACCATCTATGATATTGATAAGTCACACATATAAGAAGTTGGTTTGCCGACATGTTAAACAAAACCGAGCGTCTGCTAAAAATCATTACGTTAATCAATACGTTGTATGCCTCACCACAGTGCAGTGGAGAAATATGCAGCGTCTTCCACCCGGACATTTTGGTCTAAATTTACTGGCCTCGCAATATAGAGCAACTTACTGTGACGGAATGTTATCTCAACTGCTATAATTAAGCCACTTTGGGCCAGTGATAATTAATCAGACTCAGCGTAGACAAGGCGAGACAACCAAGCTACTAGTAGGCTTCTTTGGTTAATATTGTATTCATTTAGTATTAGACGCCTAAGCCGAGGCTGCCAAGGAGTATCTTTGTATGAGAGACTAGTCATTCATGTAGTTTTATATGAGACGTTGAGCGTTCATTGATATTAAACACATAGTAATCACGGACTGTGACGAGTGGACAATGGATATGGCTACCAGTTCGCTTATACAGGAGGATGAAACGAGGCTGGAAACAGAGGAAAGTGATTTAGAACTTCGGCGACCTTTTAACAGAGACATGGAAGACAGTGAAGACGAATCTCCAGCTGAGGAGGAAAAATTAAATAGGTAGGGGTCTTCATGCAGGAGTAGAGATGTACTTCTCTTCCGCCTTCTCTCTTCTTTCGCTCTTCCATTGTTAGTGCTGTAATTTACGTATGACCAAGGGCCAAGGATATATGACATACATCCGACATGTATTATTATATTATATTATATTATATTATATTATATTATATTATATTATATTATATTATATTATATTATATTATATTATATTATATTATATTATATTATATTATATTATATTACCATTGACTTCTGATGGTAAACGAGTTATGGAATAAGAATAAAATATATCATCCTCTGTGGAACGACCTCAGTGAAAGAACAGGGCTGATAGCAAAAAGTGCAAAATTAATTAAAACTTATCGATTGAATGAGACATCATAATTGTTACATTGAACCGTCTGTTAATAATGAATAGTCAGTGAATTGTCATATTGAGTCTAGTTCCGTAAAGAAAGAATAAAAAAAAAATAACAAACACACAGCTGTTTTTGAATGCCCAAGTTTTACTTTAAACTGCCTATTTACCACAAAAATGTACTGACTCAACATTTCTTTTTAATTCCAGCAATACGGAAAGTATAATGAACTTTCTCAGAAGCAATATAGGACCCGGCTTACTTGGAATGCCGTACGCAATATCTAACGCAGGGATACTGGTATGATCCCCCTCCCTTCCCCTCCCTCCCCCCTCTCTCTCTCTCTCTCTCTCTCTCTCTCTCTCTCTCTCTCTCTCTCTCTCTGTTTGTATATGTGTGTGCGCGCACGTGCGTGCAGGTCTGTAAAGGTGGCACGTTTTCTAACATTCTTTATGACACAATATCCACAGGAAATTACGAATATGTAATGTAAAACAGGTTTAACACTGACAGTAATATAAAATGATATATTTTTATTACAGGTTGGGACGGTCACTGTAATGGTTCTTGGTATTATATGTACCCACTGTATGCACCTTCTGGCAGGAGCGGCACAGGATATATGTCAGAGGTCGTATTACTTTAATGATTTTGTTGACACTTAAAAAAGATATCTGAAAAAAACCAAGTTTGAATCAGATGTTTTCATTTTTGGATTAAGATAACTTGCTGGTGTTGAGATTGTTATGGATCAAACTTGAACTGAGACCCTTAACAGGGTTGTGATAACTTTAACTGTTTTACTAGTAACTTTAACTGTTTTACTAGTAAGTAAAAAAAAAGTAGACTATTTTAGCACCCACCCAGAGCCGTGTGTAGCCCCTGCTATGATCGATATGTGAGTGTGCGTGTGTGTGTGTGTGTGTGGGGGGGGGGGGGGGGGGTAATATAAAAAAATAGAAATACTTCCCGGCGGGACAAAGTTATCATATGTAGCTGCAGTTAAACCATTAGCGTATTGATTTCCAAAAAGTACTTAGACAAACGTAGTTACAGATTCGGGTTTTACTTAAGGTTTTTTTATGACAGTTTCGGATTTATTGTTCCAGGCGAGGTATTTCGGAGGTGAATTACGCTGAAGCTGTGGAGATGTCATTTCAAGATGGACCCGAGCCTCTCAGGCGGTTTTCCAAGGCATCAAAGTAGGCTGCTTCATTAATCAATTTCTATACTTAATATGAATTCAATTGAATTTATGCATTTGTTTGGTTGCTTATCAATTTGTCCGTTTGGTTTTGTATTCTTGTATTAATTTACCATTTCTTTCATTTAAAAATTCAAAATTGAGATTTGATATCTCTAATCTTATTGCTCTATCTTTTTCTTAACGCTTGATTTCCAATTTACAAATCGTTCCAGAGTACTGGTGAACATATTACTTATTATCGCTCAGATGGGGATTTGTTGTGTATATCTTGTGTTTATACCCGACCACATAAAACAGGTGAGAACAATAATGCTTGCCAATATATATATATATATTTTATTTTTTTTTTTCTTCTTTTTTTTACGTTTTAACAAGTGATTATCTGCCTTTGGTTGATTTTCTTTGTCAAGTATTTAAGCGCAATGATAATTGTTTTTATAGTGATATCTTTTTTTAAATCTCGTACATCATTAAAAAGTAGAGATATAAAGGCTGGTTTGGCGCAGATTTACACATTCATCTTTGAAGCAGTAATTTATTGCAATTTACTTTTATAATGTTGCAAATTTGATAAATGTTATAAATATTTCTTCACAGATTGTAGATATGCACGTGGAAAACGACATATCACTGAAGTGGTATCAAGTAATAGTGGCGGGAATTTTGAGCATCTATGTCTTCGTTAAGCACCTCAAAACGCTGGCTTACTTCTCAGTGGTTGGCAATATATTGACAGTGATTAGCGTGGGGATAATTCTGCAATATACGTTCCGCAACTTAAAGCCCGTGAGTTCGTTACCCCTGTCGGCAGAGGCTTCCAAATTCCCGATCCTCTTTGGGATGTCATTATACGCATATGAAGGAATAAACGTGGTAAGTTTGCACATTCACTTCACTTTTACACTTTATTTGTGCAGTACTACATGATTTCCTGATATCGCTGTTACGTACACTGTGTTATTCAAATAAAAGGTCTTAACATTTTAAGGACCACGTTTCTATTCAATACAGTTCCGTAAATAGATTAAAATTTTGTGATGCTTCAGTGGCGGAAGGAGAGGCGTTCTCAAATTTTGTCCTCCAAACAAGCTCAAATAACTTGATTTTATTAACAGTTTTTTGTGACCTCACTCCTGTTTTTTAAAAGTATTTAGTCACTTTTTAAAACAATTTAAACCCAAAATCACATTATCATATCATTTTGACTTAATTCTTCTCAATGAAGGTTTTACCTATCAGAAACAAGATGAAAACCAAAAAGGATCTTCTTCCATGGAATGGAGTCATGAATCTCTACATGACCATAACTGTTTGTGTGTATACAGCCATGGGATTCTACGGTTACCTGTGTTTTGGAGATAACGTCAAAGGAAGCATTATACTAAATTTGCCAACTAATGATTGGTAAGATTTTTTTCTATTTTTATGTTGCTCTTTTATCCGTGCGACTTTGTACTTTATTGGTGGATGGAAAGCTCGCTTTGTGTTGTTGATGATATTCTTTGAGTTTATTAAATTCTTGTTTATTAATTCAGTGAGTTTATTAAATCCATGTGTAAAATGTTTAATTCGTGTATCAAACATACTTTGCTGAAGTCATTTACAACGATTAGATAGTAGAAACGAAATTATTTGTCTCCGTGCCTTGTAACTTTTCAAATCAATTTTGTATTTTTCTTTTCAGGCTTTATCTATCAGTAAAACTGATGTATTGTTTGGTGGTTTTTGTTACCTATGGACTACAGTTCTACGTCCCTGTAAACGTATTGTTGTCTTATATGCAGAATCGCATACAGGATAACCCGTTTTGTATGAAGCACGGCGAAACCTTCTTGAGACTTGTGTTGCACTTAGTTAATCGTAAGTACAAATTTTCTTATAAACAAATCGGCATTTATGCATATACATTTATGTTAGCAGCTAAGTGCTGCCTTTTCTTCACTAATNGCATGAAGCAAACCCTTTAAACAAAACCGAGCGTCTGCTAAAAATCATTACGTTAATCAATACGTTGTATGCCTCACACCAGTGCAGTGGAGAAATATGCAGCGTCTTCCACCCGGACATTTTGGTCTAAATTTACTGACCTCGCAATATGGAGCAACTTACTGTGACGGAATGTTATCTCAACTGCTATAATTAAGCCACTTTGGGCCAGTGATAATTAATCAGACTCAGCGTAGACAAGGTGAGACAACCAAGCTACTAGTAGGCTTCTTTGGTTAATATTGTATTCATTTAGTATTAGACGCCTAAGCCGAGGCTGCCAAGGCATATCTTTGTATGAGAGACTAGTCATTCATGCAGTTTTATATGAGACGCTGAGCGTTCATTGATATTAAACACATAGTAATCACGGACTGTGACGAGTGGACAGTGGATATGGCTACCAGTTCGCTTATACAGGAGGATGAAGCGAGGCTGGAAACAGAGGAAAGTGATTTAGAACTTCGACGACCTTTTAACAGAGACATGGAAGACAGTGAAGACGAATCTCCGGCTGAGGAGGAAAAATTAAATAGGTAGGGGTCTTTATGCTGGAGTAGATATGTACTTCTCTTCCGCATTCTCTCTTCTTTTTCTTTCGCTCTTCCATGGTTATAGTGCTGTAATTTATGTATGACCAAAGGCCAATGATATATGACATACATATGTACGTCCGACATGTATTATATTATATTATATTATATTATATTATATTATATTATATTATATTATATTATATTATATTATATTATATTATATTATATTATATTACCATTGGCTTCCGGGAAAAGTGCAAAATTAATGAAACTTATCGATTGAATAGGATATATCATGATTGTTGCATTGTAACCGTCTATATAATGAATAGCCGCTGAATCGTCATATTGAGTCTAGATCCGTGATGAAAGAATAATAAAAAAGAAATAACTACAAACACACAGCTGTTTTTGAATGCCCATGTTTTACTTTAAACAGCCTATTTACCACAAAAAATGTACTGACTCAACATTTCTTTTTAATTCCAGCAATACGGAAAGTATCATGAACTTTCTCAGAAGCAATATAGGACCCGGCTTACTTGGAATGCCGTACGCAGTATCTAACGCAGGGATACTGGTATGATCCCCCTCCCTTCCCTCTCTCTCTCTCTCTCTCTTTCTCTCTTTGTGTGTACATGTGTGTGTGCGCGCGCGCACGTGCGTGCAGGTCTGTAAAGGTGGCACGTTTTCTAACATTCTTTATGACATTATATCCACTCGAAATTATGAATATGTAATATGTAACAGGTTAAACACTCTGACAGTAATATAAAATGATATATTTTTATTACAGGTTGGGACGGTCACTGTAATGGTTCTCGGTATTATATGTACCCACTGTATGCACCTTCTGGCAGGAGCGGCACAGGATATATGTCAGAGGTTGTATTACTTTAATGATTTTGTTGACAATCTGAAAGATATCTGAAAAAACAAAGCCTGTATGAATCAGATGTTTTCATTTTTGAATTAAGATAACTTGCCGGTGTTGAGTTTGTTATGGATCAAACTTAAACTGAGACCCTTAGCAGGGTTGTGATAACTTTAACTGTTTTAAGTAGGTCAAAAAAGTTGACTATTTAAGCACCCACCCAGAATAGTGTGTAGCCCCTGTTATGAACGATGTGTGAGTGTGTGTGTGTGTGTGGGGGGGGGGGGGGTAATATAAAAAAAAAAAATACTCCCCAGCGGGACCAAATTATGATATTTAGCTGAGTTAAACCATAAGCGTATTGATTTAGAAAAGTACTTAGACAAACGTAGTTACAGATTCGGGTTTTACTTTAGGTTTTTTTTATGACAGTTTCGGATTTATTGTTCCAGGCGACGTATTTCGGAGGTGAACTACGCTGAAGCTGTGGAGATGTCATTTCAAGATGGACCCGAGCCTCTTAGAAAGTTTTCCAAGGCATCAAAGTAGGCTGCTCCATTAATCAATTATCATACTTAAATATGAATTCAATTGAATTTATGCATTTGGTTTGGTTGCTAATCAATACGTCCGTTTGATTTTGTATTCTTGTATTAATTCACCATTTCTTTCACTTAAAAATTCAAAATTGAGACTAATGTCTCTAAGCTTATTGCTCTATCTTTCTTTTTCTCATCGCTTGATTTCCAATTTACAAATCGTTCCAGAGTACTGGTGAACATATTACTTATTATCGCTCAGATGGGGATTTGTTGTGTATATCTTGTGTTTATACCCGACCATATAAAACAGGTGAGAACAATAATGCTTGCCAATATATATATATATTATTATTATTATTATTATTATTATTATTATTATTATCTGCCTTTTGTTCATTTTCTTCGTCAAGTATTTATTGCAAGTGCAGTGCTAATTGTTTTTATGGTGATATATTTAAATCTCGCACATCATTAAAAAATAGAGATAGGTGCCTATCCGTAAAGGCTGCTTTGACGCAGATTTACACATTTATCTTTGATGCAGTAATTTATTGCAATTTACTTTTATCATGTTGCAAATTTCATAAATATTATGAATATTTCTTCACAGATTGTAGATATGCATGTGGAAAATAACCTATCACTGATGTGGTATCAAGTAATAGTGGCGGGAATTTTGGGCATCTATGTCTTCGTAAAGCATCTCAAAACGCTGGCTTACTTCTCAGTGGTTGGCAATATATTGACAGTGATTAGCGTGGGGATAATTCTGCAATATACGTTCCGGAACTTAAAGCCCGTGAGCTCGTTACCCCTGTCGGCAGAGGCTTCCAAGTTCCCGATCCTCTTTGGAATGTCATTATACGCATATGAAGGAATAAACGTGGTAAGTTTGCACATACAGTTTACTTTTTCACTTAATTTGCGCAGTTGGCCTACTCCTAACACATAATTTCCTGATATCGCTGTTACGTATTATTCAAATTTCATGTCCCACCATTCTAGGACCACGTTTTCATGCAATACAGTTCCGTGAATAGATTAAAATTTTGTGACGCTTCAGTAGGGGAAGGAGACGCGTTCTCAGTTTTGTCCACTAAATAAGCTCAAATAACTTGATTTGAATAACAGTTTTTTTTTGTGACCTCGCTTCTATTTTATTAAGTATTTAGTCACAATTTAAACTGAAAATTACATTATCATATTATTGTGACTTATTTCCTTCCAATGAAGGTTTTACCGATCCGAAACAAGATGAAAACCAAAAAGGATCTTCTTCCATGGAATGGAGTTATGAATCTCTACATGACCATAACTGTTTGTGTGTATACAGCCATGGGGTTCTACGGCTACCTGTGTTTTGGAGATAACGTCAAAGGAAGCATTATACTAAATTTGCCAACTAATGATTGGTAAGATTTTTTTTTCTATTTTTATGTTGCTCTTTTATCCGTGCGACTTTGTACTTTATTGGTGGATGGAAAGCTCGCTTTGTGTTGTTGATGATATTCTTTGAGTTTATTAAATTCTTGTTTATTAATTCAATGAGTTTATTAAATCCATGTGTAAAATGTTTAATTCGTGTATCAAACATACTTTGCTGAAGTCATTTACAACGATTAGATAGTAGAAACTAAATTATTTGTCTCCGTGCCTTGTAACTTTTCAAATCAATTTTGTATTTTTCTTTTCAGGCTTTATCTATCAGTAAAACTGATGTATTGTTTGGTGGTTTTTGTTACCTATGGACTACAGTTCTACGTCCCTGTAAACGTATTGTTGTCTTATATGCAGAATCGCATACAGGATAACCCGTTTTGTATGAAGTACGGCGAAACCTTCTTGAGACTTGTGTTGCACTTAGTTAATCGTAAGTACAAAATTTCTTATAAACAAATCGGCATTTATGCATATACATTTATGTTAGCAGCTAAGTGCTGCCTTTTCTTCACAAATAACGCTATATACATTGTATGTGAGGGACACCTTAAGCGAAATGATGACATTTGCTATGTATTTCTTTAAAAATAAAAACTGGTACTAAATCAAGTTTTAAGTTTTTCAAGCCGAAAAAGAAATATAATCGATTTTTGTTTGACACTCTTAAAACAACTGGTATATATGTTTGAAAACATTACAGATATCATTTATTGTTAATTAAAAAAATTAAGATCTTTTGATTCTAAAAGGAGTATTTTTTATTCCAGTTGCCTTTGCGATGCTGATTCCACATCTAGGCCTTATCATTTCATTATTCGGTGCCCTGAGCAGCAGTGCCTTGTCTTTGGTATTACCGCCAATCATGCACTCTCTTACGTTATGGCCCGACAGACTAGGGACGTGTAAATGGCAATTAATTAAGAACATTTTCATAGCTATTCTCGGGTTTTCTGGCTGTATAACAGGGACGTATGTTGCCCTAACAAATATTATTCATTGTAGCCTTAATCCGAACGCTAAGATGTGTTCGGCATAGAAACCAGGCCACTAGTCTAGGACTTTATAACGTAGAATCTGCGTTTTTAGTTTATTGAATTGAACTTTTTCACTAAGAAAACACCCTCGGCTTAAATGACATTGAAATATCTATACATTGAACCAGTTTTGTCCTTTTTATTTATTAATGAATCCAAGTCTTTTGCACCTCCCCAAATTTTTATTCGGTGCACAAGACGGAAAGTGAAGGGCCAAACCTGCTTTTATATATATATATAAATGGCCAGGTAAAATATCCATTTATAATTTATAGAAATAAAAGGTTTATATTTTTACAAAACTTTATTGTTCACCTTTAAAAGTGACTTTTATCAAGAATATCTTTACATAAGGCATGATTTACACGAGACACTATAACATATATAAAACTTCTGTGAAGCATTACACTAGACTTTTTTCTTTATATACAGTGAAAGTGCAACATACAATTGTTTTTCTTTTACACCTCTCCTCTGCCGTCATACCATAGTATTATCCAAGTGTTTTTTATTTTAATGTGAAGAAAAAGAAAGTCCTGTGGATCTAAACCCCATAAGGCAGTCTGAATAAAACGTTGCATTTCCTTCTTGAAACCATGTCGACCACTGGTTGAAAAAGATGTTTTCAGGGCATCATATCCCATGGCTTTGCAATTACGGTGATATAAATTGTCAGTAATTAGGGCCAGTATTTAATCCGGATCAAGATGTCATCTCCATCATGTAACTTCTCGTGAGTTCTCTCAGTTCTTGAAGTGCGTAATCTTCAGGCATTGGCAGCTTACCAATATGAGGAGCAAGCAAACTGGAAAACAAGAAATATACCTATACCATATAAAAACATAAAAGAGTAAGTCTGAATTGACCAGAGTGCATGTACTTGTACGTCCATTAATTTGCACAATTTTAAAGCTGTCACCCCCATCAGTTTATCAGTCACAACGCATCTAACGTAAATCAAATATGAAACTGAAGCAGGCAAAAAAGTATCACAATGTCAAAATTTTCTATTAAATACAACATATCTTCACCAACTCAAGACTGCTTTTTACCTCACTGTTGGTCTTCCCTGGTCATCTATTGTTCTGTTCTTCAGTGCTAGGAGTGTTCTTAACAAGTTAGCAGTTTTCTTGGCCATCTCCGACTGACACAGCCTGCAATGAGAACATTTAGTTTTAATTATGTTATACTGAAACTAGAACATATATGCTCTTGGATTTTGATTGATCTTATAAATAATTAAGAAAAAATGCTATAACTGATAACTGCATGATTTCTCACCGCTCATATTAATTATCTATTTACTTTCAAAAACTTCCTGGAATTGTTTGCTTAAAAAGTAAGGATGACATTTCAAAAGTTCAAAACATATGTCAAATGTAATTTTCTCACATGAAATATATATTTCTGTTGTGTGTCTTAAGTTGAAAACTTAACTAACTTCACAGTACTATGTGCAACGTAGTTTCAGTTGATAAAATGCATTTGCATTCATGAGAACTGGACCTGGAAGGGGCAAAAATATACAATTAAAAAATTATCTACCTGTCTTTGGCTGTAAAGCACTGCAAGTTGCCAACACGATTGCACAGCGAGATCACCTCTGGCTGTAGCTTCTCCAGTTCATACACACTGGGTTCCCCCTAGCAAAGTAAGAAAGAAATCTTTAATGGCAATAAGATACTTGACCTCTGTGATATATTACAAAGAAAACCCAAGAAAAGTTGAAATAGCTGAGATTTTTTGAAACTGGCAAACTGCTGACTGTGTAAAAAAAAACAAAAAAACTGATCAACAAATTGTAAGATAACATTTTAGAGAGACAAAAATAGTTTCCAGGATTTTCCCCTTTCCTACATCTTTTTGTAACAATAAAATTTAGGTTTCTAATCAACAGAGAACGGTTATTTCTTATGTTAAATATGGAAGTGAAGCAAATCTGGTCTATCAAAAAGCATCCAATAAACGTCACAATCAAAGTTCTCCGATACAATCAAAATTTAAACCAAGACGAAATGATGGCGCTTGAAACCATAAACCAAGTACTGATAAAAGAGTTGATAGGGGGAAAATAAATTTACTTGTTTCATAGCCTGCAGGGTCTCCAGGATGTTGATGTAGTCTAGGAACACTCTGCCTCCCACTGCCCACTCATAGATGGCAGAACTGTGCTCTGGTAGGGACAACTCTTCAAGGAACTGTCGCAGGTAGTCATAGTCTTCTGCAAAATGAGAACAGGATGGATATGTATGAATATTAAAAAAGAAACAAATTTTAGTAAAATCCAATCACTTTCTTTGCCGATTTGTTATATTACAGTACTTCAATTAATTCAAGAGTTTTATATTTTCTGTGCATCATTTTCATACTTTTTTCCTTCAATGTATCAATTATTATCATTTCATTTATTTATCCATCTATTTATTTATTTGTTTCATTATATATACTCTGACTACAAATGGTCAATGCGAAATGCGTTTTTTTTTTTTTTTTGGTAGTCAGAGTCGTCTTTTGTATTTTGTTCTGTTTGCGCTCCTGACGAGTCCTCCAGGCCGAAACAGCTGTAGGGACTTATATAAAGTAAAATGGAGAGAACAGATTAACTTTGCTCGTTTTCTTGTCTTTATATATATTTCTTTTTTTTATTTTTATTTTTTTGGGGAGAGAGAGAGAGAGAGAGAGAGAGAGGGAATTAACATGTCTAATAATCACCCATTGCTAAAACTTTCATGAGATCTCACCATTAATAATAGCATCCGCAGCCAGGTGTCTCAGGATGATTACGTGACTTTTGTTCCAGTGGCCAGCTTTCTGGAGGTGCCATGCTTCATCATGTGGCCTTCTCAGTGCTTTGGCTTTTAGTGCCTGGAGGTAAGGAAAGAAAGCAAAGATAATTGAGATCAGGTGACTTTAAGGTTGGTATTGTGGATCTGTTCAACCCTTCACTGATGTGTTCTCTGTGTGGAACACAAAACGGATGGCTCACAGAATTACAGAATTGTCATGATTTACAAGATCTACCATTAGCAGAGCTGGAGGTCACATAACTTATCACTTACTAATCTACAGTTACAGATATATGACATGAAAAATATATAAAGTTCAAGAGTGACCCAAACCATGTCTGCAATTTGCCTTTGCAATCTGTAGCATTTGGAATAAATACGACGATAATGAGGAGGTTATAAAACTGGCACCCATATACAATTCAATACCAACCTAATAGCTTCCCATCAGATTAGATCAGTTATTGCTCAGCATCACACTTTAGTCAAGCAAAGAATTAATCATCATATGGGAGTAACTGATTTTATCAAAACTGAGAAAAAAACAACTTTGTCTATAGAATAAGTAGAATTTCAGACATATTTAAGAGCAGTGATGTTAACTTGAAGCCAAATCAAAATTTAGCCAATTTTCATGTCCTTATGAAAGAAAGAGGCAAAAAAATGAATTATCCAGGCCATAAGTCTTTCTTTTGTTTTTTTTTTTTTTCAAGTATTAGAAGGGGTGAGATGCTGTCTTCCAAATGATGCAAAACAACATACCTTAGCTTCATGTATCCATTTTGAAGGAATGTATAACTGTTCTTTTAAAAATGTTTCCCTCTCGGTGCTCTCCTCGTCCAGCTCCAGCGACACATGCCTTAGGAGTGTTTCTCTTACTGCATTCTCTCTCCTAAGGAAAAAGTGATACCATAAAAAAATAAGTCAAACTTTTAACAATAACCAGCCTTTATGCTTATGCTTTTTTAAAATTAATAATACGAAATATTACACTTCTCTTTTATAAAACTGTTCTGATCTGTTGGATTTCTTTTACTATTTTTATAGGAATGCTTTTGAGGTAATTTCCCCATCAGATTAGATCAGTTATTGCTTTAGCATCACGCTGTAGTCAAGCAAAAATGTCATCATCACGTGGGATAATTATGGAACTGAATCTTTATATCATCCTCTTAGGCTCAGGATAACTATAAAAGAAATTTTTGAAGAGGAATTTTGTTAGCCATTATAATTATTTCATTAAATCAAAAGAGAGCCTTTGTACATCAGATACATCACCAATGATGAGATGGACACAGGTCCCTTACCTCTTGTAGTCTTCGATATGTAGTAAAACGAACACTGCCCAGTGCCAGAGTCCCACAGACTCCAGGTGTGCAGCAAAGTTACAGTGGAGGGTGGCCTCGTGTTGCTCTGACAGGTGTGTGTACTCCAGGGCTTTTAACACCTCACACAAGTGCCAGCTGAAAAAAAATTAATTTAATAAATTAATATATAACAAACAGTCTCAGTGTGGAAAGAGGTATTTTAAGTTGGGTGCACACAAGAGCATGTGGCTTGCAGACATGTTCATTCATAGCTCTTGCTCCAAGGTAGCTCCCTTAGGGCAGCATGCCTTATCCTTCCTTTTCTTCTCATGACAATTTTTTTCCAACAGTTTAATTTTGTAATGATGTATAATACAATTTCATCTGAATTTTCAGTACAAAAACTTAATAAACAGAGGGGAGTTTACAGCAGATTGCTACTTTATCAAACAGCCTTGGTATCAAATATTCAAATCCATATTTTGTCCAGTAAGAGTTAAATACACTATCACACCACAATACTTGCCTTAATCTATAATCCAGTTGGTTCTGAGTAGAAGTTGTGGGAGCTAATATCCTCTCTAACCTATGAAACTTGTGACTATATAACCTCAATAAGTGATAACAAGTGTCCCGAACTATAAATCTCCTGTCTTCTTCTACTACTTCTTCAAGATATAAGGGGTCATCCTCTAGATAGGGGGGTAGAGGTGGAGGAGCATACTGCCCAAAACTTGTCTTCCCCTTGAATGCCCTGTCATACTCTTGTAGAGCATCTGCTATTGTTGCATTGGGGGTGCACAGATACCTGAACAATAACAAATTCAAATAGAAAGATAAGAAAAGTGGTCTAATTGATAAATAAATAGACAGATCATTAAAATCTGATCGAGTACTTTGTTATTTGCACAGTCAGAACAATTAAATCTCTTGTACCTAAATTATACATTAATGCATATGTCTGTATAGAAAATCTCCCTTTCTACCTTCTCAAAAAAGAACTAGGTACCTTTAGGCTATAGTGCAAAAAAATCTGTGGAAGAAATTAGTTAATATGTAGTACAACATCAAATCAGTAATTTAGCTTTATATAATAGAGGAAATTTTTCATTTCAAATCGAATGATTTTACTTCATTTACACCACTCACTGACAAGGTGGACTACCATGTAATAAAATGAGCACTTCAACATAAAGCTTTCCTCACCATAAATGTATTGCCAGTGCCCTCTTCCAGTCCAAGGCCTCACAGGAGTTGACAGTGTAGTCAGAGGCCTGCCACACTGGGCAGCCTCCCAGTGTACTGTAAACTCTGAGACGCTCTGGTTCTATATATTTGTCAGCCTGAAATACCAAAGGAACAGATAGGAAATAGTTATCTTTTTATACTAGGATACCTGGATAATGAAAAAAAAGCTAGAAGAAATATATTAAAAGTCAGAATAAATTGGCATCGATTATTTCTGCTGCAAAGAAAGTTATAATACAACAAAAAGATGGTTTTGTCATCCTTACTGTTCAAGTCCCATTTGTGCACTTGATCAAATTTAAGACAACTGTCATTTGCAGTCATCTTCATTTTGAAAATGCTTTCAAGACAAAATAGATACAAATCTTATCTTTCAGAAAACAAAAGGTCCAAACAAATATCCATTCCAGCACCCAAGCTACTTCTTTTCTTTTTCTTTAAGAATACTTGTTGTCACGGATGTCTCACCTTCATTTCTTCCCAATCACTCAACTGCTTTTTGATCATCTGCCTGGTCACATGACTGCCAGATGCCTGGCCCAATAGGAGGGCTAGTCTGTGGTCACCTGACTCCTGGGCCAGGGCACATGCCTGGGAGATCTGACGGCCACTAAGATGGCTGAAAATGTCCGCCAGGTGACCTGACGTCTGAAAATATGAATTTGTGGTGAATTAGTAAGGAAAACAATTTTTTGAATAATTTAAAAAGAATATCCCCAGCCAACAGATGGCAGTGATATTTTAACAACTTCATTTTAATTTTAAAGAAAAAATAAAGAAAAACACAGGACTTACTTTGAATTTGTTATCTTGGATTTCTTTTTTGATTGTCTGACTAGCGGCGTTAGCCAACCAATGTGAGAAAGCCTCTCTCCTTGCCATGTGGTGTGCATACTCATCTGGCTTCACATCTGAAATGAACATAAACACTTTTTTTACAAACTCTATGTGGCTGCATGCCATGCTTTTGTTCAACTCAGTAAAACTTAAGAAAAACACCCACTGAAAGATGTTCAGATAATATACAAGAACACTGTCCAATATTTAGGGTTTATTAACAAACTCGTACCTTCATCTTCTCCAAATTCTGCCAGTCTTCCCCAGAGAGCCACACACAGCTCCCAGACCAGACTGCCGTGGTGTACAGCATCAGCATCTGGGTGAGAACCTGAAACAATAGCAACAACAACAACAATAAAAGCATTTTGAACTACTGTATCATTGTTTATAATAACTGATTGAAAAAAAACAGTTTTTACCACTAACTTTCATTGCACTTAAGCTCATACATTTTATATGTTGGTGCAGCAGTGTTGTCTTCTGGGAGACTGTAATACAGTGAAGTGTGGTGTATTTGGTGTACCGAATTATGTCGTGCAGGGCAGCAATGCAAAGAGTGAACTGCATTGCATTGTGCTGTACTTAACTGCAGAGTAATGTGATGAGCACAGTACAGAGCTTTTTGCAAAAGAGGAGAGTGGTACAATATTATATTACTCACCTATACTGTCTCTCTCTGTTACTGCCTGTTTAGCATACTTATGTAGAGCCTCCACCCCCAGTCTAGGGGTAAAGACAGGGCACCCATTCTCAATGCCATGTTCTGAGTGCTCCAACTGAATCTCTAAGTACTTGATGTGATTTTCCTATGTAAAGAAATGAGGGAAATATCATAAATGAAAATGGCAGTGGCATAATCTGTTATATACACTGTCAGAACAATTAAATCTCCTTCACTCAAATTATAAATTACTACAAATGTCTGTACAGAATTTTCATTTTCTTGTTCTATAAAAAGAACTAATTCCTCAAAAGTGTGAACTTTCTTCTTTGACAAAAAAGTCATGATTGTTTGGTCAAGTAAGAATGTCTTGCAATTATAACACTGATCTGAAAACACACCAATCAAGATCACACTTAATTTTAATTTCTCTATATTATCATATCAATATGAAAAGCTACAGAAAGAGGAAAACTGGTCCACGTACTGTTAATGTTTTGTCCATTTCAGAGGCAAATGGTGTGACCTTCACTTTCTCTAAGGTTACAGTAAAGGGGGACTGGTCTGGCCGGGTTGGTGGTTTGCTGTCTGGGAGGATAGAAAACCTTTTGTCCTTTGTCTTCACTATAAAATAAATAAAGGTGTATGTATGTTTGGTATTGTTTTATTTTCATACAAAAGTGAATAACTACTAGCCATCTATTTCATTTGCACCACTACTTCAATTTCATTCAAGTCTATCGACCATTTTTCATTATTTAATTATAATTTTCTTACTTTAGAAGGTGGTTCAAGGTCATGTTTACTTTGTCTGTTGACAGCAGTTGATCTATTAATTTGTTAACTCTAAGAAGATTCCTTATTTCTCTTTTGAATTAACCATTCACATTCTGATACATTAAGCCATTTTTCTTTTTCAAGGTGCAAGATCCTCTACAAGAGAGACACTTTAATATTGGTACATATTGTTAAAATACATACCTTGCCTCTGCTGTAACACTGGGGTCCCACAGTGTACCAGTACGCCATTTGGAGCCCAACCCACCCTGCAGCCTCTCCCCATTACTAACCCAGCATCCATGATCAGGTGCTGCTTGTTGTATAGGACTGACTCATGGAAAGCAGGCAGGGTGCGCTGGATCCTTGACCCCACGACTTTCCTTACAGGCTCCTGCTGAGGCATTCCGCTGGGGATTAGCAGGTGCTCTGGCGCACTGGTCTCCATTAGGCTTTTACTGGGTTTTGATGGGAGAACTTTAGTGGAGAACACACCTGAAGAAAAATAAAATATTCTATTGCGTGAAATCAACTTCAGTTCCTGTCAAGTCAAAAGGTTTAAAGGCTCCAACATACGCATAAAACCTAATGACAAGGAGTCACAAGCAGGAACATTTAAGTCATACAATGACTGCCCTCTGAATATTCTGCTCAGGATAAAAAAATGTATAACAGGGCCCAGTGCACTATGTACTAGTATTAAAATAATCAGAAAGACGTACATCTGACATCTTATGAGATCACATTTTGCATTATGAATTAAACATTGGTAAATTATCGAAAATGCTTTATTTGGTGACTGGTTAAAAACAAAATAATCATGAACTGACCAGATCTCATCTGCTGCACCTTATCCCCAGTCACCAGGGGGCTCTGTGGTCTAGGTTCATATACAGACGCCCCAAGAAGACCTTTGCCTTCCTTTTGTCTGAACAGTGGTGAGGGTGTCCTGGTGTCACGGCTGCCTTCACGTTTAAGAAGACCTGGGAACTGACTTGGGGAAGCTGAAAATTAAACTATGTACATAGAAACTATAACACTATAAGCTGCACAATGCTTTGCCAAACTTTGCATATTTGAGTTTTCATTTTATTTTTACATCTGTTTATCATTTTTACATCAGTGAAACAAGGTACTGAGAAAAAAAGATGTGCATGCCCTTTAAAATAAAAAAAAAGTTCCTAATAATCAGTACTTTACTAAATGCTAAATAATAAGAAAATAATTAAATTGAATGTATGAGAAAATATTCTGAAAACTGTTCCAAATTCTTATCAATTTTCAATGCTTTCAAAAAGCATTTATGCAATTTCTTAGGTACACTTCTAAACACATACCGGGGACCCCTCCATCCCTCTCTTCTTCATCCATAAAGAAGGAGGCCTTCATCACCTGCATGCTCCTGGCATCCACTCCCAGGCTGGTGGCCAGGCGGTGTGATGACGGGGCCTCCACCACCTCTCCATCCATTGACTCATCTTCTCGCTCTAAATTTAAACATGTTGGCAAAGGTAAATTTTGGTAGTTAAGTTTTCTTGTGACCGTTGTGTTTCATATTACAGTTATGAACCTAGATTAAAAAAAAAACCCTCTCAACCAGACTTTATCGCAGATCTTGATAAACCTCAGGAACCATTAGAATTGGATTTAAAAAATGCAGAATTTCACGTTTCTGTGGAAAAAGCTCGTGTCTGATATTATTTTATGAACTAAACAAAACTCAAATCCAGATCATATGTAAAACCATCAACGAAAATAAAGTATCAGCTTGTGTAAGACAATATTATAAAATAGATAGCTATAAATTATAAAATTATAAAATAGATAGCTAAGAACTGATACATGTGCACATTTTTAAGGACCAACGTCTGACATCATTGCAGAAAGCCAACAAGCTTGTTGAGGCAATTATAAAGCAAATGGTTCAAAACAACAATGACTGACATCTCAAAGCATTTTTCCATGGTTTTGCAATTGAATGACAAAATTAACAAACTGTAGTTTATTTCTTTGAAACATTAAAAAGGGCATAATCAAAGGTTAAAAATGTCCCTTACATGTTCTTGTCAAATAATTTCTTTTAAAATCTTATCAAAGTGTAAAAACAGATCCAAGTAATAGCACCCACCATCCATCTCATCACCCAAATCATCTGGAAACTTTTCATGCGTGATGTCGGCCATTACATCATCGTCGTCATCATCCTCTTCTCTCATTGGTCTTCTGTTTGCATCCAATGAAATAAAATCTTGCTCTTCATTTCGAAACTGCTGTTTTGATTTTAACTCTTGCAAATGAATGTGTTGCTTCTGAAAGGAAAAAGAAAAGGTTTTTCCAACCATACCCAAAATGCACTTTTCTTTTCACCTTTTTCAAACAATATCACTGGTGACCCCTTACATAAAAATTTGACAAATGCACATTCTCTCACAAGATTTTTCAAATACAAGCACCATCACATAGTTCAAAAACAGCAATTTTCATAGTTCACTTAAATCCTCAGCACACTGGTTCATCCATACCTACTGATAAAACTAAATATAAAGCACAAACAGTGATTCAATTTTCAAACACCTTTATTGGTCAAGCAGAGAAAAATTTCCAATTTGATCACAGAAATAGTTTATTGCACATAATTATGGTACAAAGCTGAAAGATTTCCCAAAGAATATAAATTCTGCAATGTGAGCTAAGCATATTACACCATTATTTCAAATAGTCAAAAAAAAAAAATCTACATACGACACTGATATCAGATCATATTGTGTCAGTTTTATGTTACTTTTCTGTTTCATGGCTTACAAGCCTTAAAACAATCCAAATGACCTGCCCAAGAACATTTCTGTAAGTTTAATTTCTTCTTCAGTTGGTCTTATTTCTTTAGGTTAATTGTTTATTTTATTACAATCTATCATTTCACAGTAAAATAAAATATCTTACTAAAATATTGGCAACACTGATACAAGTATAATGCTAAATCTAAAACAAGAATACATAATCTGTAATTTTTTAAATAAAATAAGATACTGTATAAATGTATATATATTTAAATACATATGCCTTTTTCAACTGCTTATGTGTATTATTTTTTACTTAACAAAATAAGCTACATTTTTATTTATCTTGAACTTTTATTTCTAAGTCAAAAACTCTAGTTTAGGTTACTTCACAGAAGTTATTTTACAAAATCTACACGTTTAATACTCTAAAATACTGCTTATAACTTCAAACTGCAAAGTAACTTAATGATAACAGATCTAGCAACCTTAACATGAAATATGAGTAACTATATAAATTATATTATAATATACTATAATAGCAGTATTCAACCAAAGCAAACTCAAACATGATGTTCAATCCACCTCTTCAATACTAAGATAAAATTTTATATTACAAATTATGACATAAAAAGTGCATTGTACCTTCTCTTTATTCCTTCATTCTTGTAGTACTGTCTTTGTGTCCGAGTGTGTGCGTGTGCACATACACACACATGCAAGTGTGCCTAAGGCCTGTGTTACACAATACATACAATATAATACATACAACCCACCACCTTCTTTCACACCATTGCTCCATCACAAAACATTTCACATTTCATAAATAGTTATTAACATATTTTCACAAGAATTTTAGTACAAACATTGCACTCCCAATCATCACATTTAATCAGTTTTTTTATCCTATCACATCTTTCAACTCCTGTGAAAATGCGCAAATTCAGCATCAGACAAAACCATCAATGGCAAACACATCCTTGGAATCCATGTATCAGAAAAGTTAACCCTATGGCGTAGGTTTATTTATTCAGCCATGTCCAATACAAGACCCTGGCCATGGGGAAGGCAACAGAGTAATGTAACGGTACATCAGCAGTTACAAACAATTCTGAAATAAAAAGTGAGATGTCTCTGAATACAAGTCTGGCTGTATTCTAATGACCTTGACCTCTCTCTCTCAAGGTCATCTGATCTTCCTCCACCCCTCCTGTTACAAACATTTTCAGCATTCAAATAAATCAATATAAAATATATAATCAGTATAAAAATATAATCAGTATAAAAATTTTACCATTTACTTAGGCTCTAAATCCTCTAAATCGGTCATATATCATCTGAACAGTGTGGACAAGTCACTCAAGTTGGACTTTATAAATCAACTTTACAACAAAAGTTTTGTGTCCAAAAGTTTGTTTAGGTACCCAACTGAAGCAAGGCTGCCACTGCTTTTAAGCATTAGTACTAAACGGAAGAGGAATAACCGGTTTAGAGCCAATCCAATGCAACTTGAGCAAACTGTCCTTTTTTATTTCTACTGGAATATTCTACTAGCACGTTCCCACCAGTCACTCCATTGTATACTCTGCTACTGCATACCTGTACTTTAAGCTGCTGCTCCTGCTGTTCCTTCAAGAGCTCAAGCTGTTTCTTGTCTGCTGTCACCATGTCTTCATCATCAGATTCCTCAAGGAGGCCATACTTTGAGAAGTGCTTCACCTAAAACGAAGAATTTTGTGTGAATAATATAGAGTGGTTATTGATTAAGGTTTGAGGTTATTAACTTTTACCTCCTACTTCATCAGACAAGACTTGATATCCTGCAGCAGTGTTTTCAGCTACATCAATTGAAAAATGTTATTTTTTTTCATTATACATATAAAAAGACAACGTCTCCTATGCTTTATAATTTTTTTGTAAAGTTATGCCCCCCCCCCTTTATTTTTTTCCATTTTACAATTAAAGTAGTTTTCAATTATATATTTACATAATAATCATACCATTTCTCCAAAAGCCAAGCATGCTTCCCAAGGCTATGACATTTATAGTACAGTTAACCCCCCTCCTCTTTTTTCATTTGAAAATTAAAGCATACCTCAAACACCCAGGACCCAGTCTCAGGTCTATACTCAATAAACTTGGCACCTATTTTTGCAGTCGATATCTCCAGCTTGCGCTCATAGTTCATGATCTTCAGTCTGTCAGGACTCTAGAGAAAAAAGACAACGGAGTCATTAAATTTTTGTACAGGCAAATATGCTTAGTTCAAATAGCCATTTGAAAAAGTATCCTTTTTCTTATTTTGCAATCTAGCAAACTGATTTTCACAAACTCTTAAAAGGCAAAAACAAATCTTCATCTATCTTTTTCATAAAGACACCTAAGAATCAATCAAGTTTTATTCAGGTATTTCTTCCAGACATTTCTTACTATATGTATTAGAAATAGCAGAGATATCAGTATCAGTTACCTTCACTGGAGAGTGGTCACTCTTGTCCACTGGCCACACACAGTCCAGTGTGACTTCAGCCTTCTTATTCAGCCCCTCTCCTACAGGGGGCTTGTCATCGTCATCTGGATACACCGTCACCTCTTTACGGCGGAAAAATACTGAAAACAGAGAAGCAATAGGAGTATAGAAAAAGTTTTACATAGGGCGTGACCATTCAGAGCATAGCATTATTATACTGCTACATAGATTTTGATATCAACTTTTTGGGAAAAAAAAAAACAACACAAACATGTGCAGATTACCATATTTGGGAATAAACTAAATTATTTTGAAAGTTTTAACAGTTTTTTATGCCTGTGCGAGTATCCTGTTCATCTATTTCAAACTATTGTCTTAATTATTTAGGACATCTTAAAGAAGAATTTATCCACTACTACACAGCACAAATTTTTACAAAATTTCAAACAACCTTCATTCAAAAAACCACCACTCATGGACCACTCACCTATCTCATCCAGGTTCATATTGGCAACATCAGTTTCCCCTGGGAAGAAAACACTACCGTATCCCTCCCTGCCTATGGTGAAGTCTTCCACCACACATCTACCCTCCCCGTCCACCATAGTGGCCAGTTCCTCTAGGGAAGGCACTGTGTAGTAGCCAGAGCGGTGGAGCATGATCCCTGCTGGGTGGGGAGGGGGCTCAGAGTCATCCTGGGAATTAAATTGAGAGACGGATCACACAACTGACTCTTATTGTAAAAACTGAACATGTGAAAATTTATTTCAAGAGCTACATAATTCTGACTGTGGTACAAGTCATGAAGTTTTTGTAGATAAAAGACATTATAAACAATACATTAAGTAATTGCAGCATAAGTAACTATCACATGAAGATGTTCTTTTTGATGACAGTTTTCTTTATTTTTTTTTACTTATTATTCATTTATGAATTCATCATCAAAATTATTTTTATTTTGGAGAGGGGTATCTTTGAAAATAAAGGAAAAAAAAATGAAGTGCAGGGCATGCTAACTGG